CTGATCTTTTCCTTTCTCTATTTGCAACTCCGGTTCTCAGCATTACTTCGGGTGCCTTCCTGCATTCTTTAATTAATGCAGGTGAAATAATTCGATTTGCTACTGAAGTTTTGTCAGAATACCAAATTCTTTCCTAGCAGTAAGTTATTCGGCAACTGTGATCGGCAAAACAAAAAAGGAAAAACCATCTTTCTACAAGTGACTAGTCTAGTGATATAGCTGTAGCTCCTTGATCCCTTTTCTTTTGTGACAAAGCTGGTTTAACAAGCAACCAGCCCCATATTTTGCCCTCATCTGCTTTTTCTTCTCACATACACACACATTTCCTCATCTGTATCAGTCTTGTGGATCTGTGCTGTACTTTGGATCTCCAAATAATGAAATTTAATAAGCTAGAATACCTCTTTATTTTTTCCATTTTAATGTGTATTCTGAATTACAGTGGCACTGGCAACTGAAGGAGCAATAAACTGCAGTGTAGATGTGGAAACACATAGCTATGGGACAAGACAGGTGGCAGCAAGGACAAGAACTTCTTAAGCCAGTTTTGCCATCCAAGAAAATATATGATGTATCTACTCAGATGGGATATGGAGAAGTACAGTCCACATTAACAGTATCTGCTCTCTCTCTGGCACACTTTCGTGGCAAGAAAATCCACCGTCATCGGCAAGCAATGTGTGAGCTCGACTCTTTAACCACATAAAGAGGACTTAATGCAGTCGAGAGTGAATTCTTAAATGTCTCCATTTCCTGTGTCTTTAACCTCCCGTGTGATTCAGCCTTCTCCCTTTTTCTACTTAATCCACCCTTCCCCACACACTTTACTGCAGAAATTGCTATGCAAATGATGTTTCTAAATTATTGGGGTATTTTTAGTTGTACTCATAAGGAATAGTTGAGTCCTGAGCTACGCAACAGGTTAAAACCAGAAGTTACTTAAATATGCGTGTACATATGGTATTTTACTGACTTTAAAGACACCGTATAATCCTTGCCTCAGCAGTTGTATTGGTATAGAGTTTACTATTAAAAACATCCAGAAGTGATGTTTTTTCAACTGTTTCTGATGTTCAGTTCACAGCTACAAGGATGTTGTGGTTTAACGCCAGCCAGCAACCAAGCACCACGCAGCCACTCGCTCACTCCTCCCCCCTCCCAGTGGGATGGGGAGGAGAACTGGGAAAAAAAAGCAAAACTCATGGGTTGAGATAAGAACAGTTTAATAACTAAAATAAAATGAAATATAATAATAACAATAATAATAAAATATAACAACAACAATAATAATTGTAATGAAAAGGAATGTAAAAAAAAAGAGAGAAATTAGACCCAAGAAAAGACGAGTGATGCACAATGCAATTGCTCACCACCCACTGACCAATGCCTGAGCAGTGATCTGCCCTTCCCGGCCAACTCCCCCCAGTTTATATACTGGGCATGACATCCTATGGTATGGAATATCCCTTTGGCTAGTTGGGGTCAGATGTCCTGGCCACGCTCCCTCCCAGCTTCTTGTACACCTGCTTGCTGGCAGTGCCTGGGAAACCGAAAAATCCTTGACTTAGGATAAGTGCTACTTAGCAACAACTAAAACATCAGCGTGTTATCAATCAACACTATTTTCACACTAAATCCAAAACACACCATACCAGCTACTAGGAAGAAAATTAACTCTATCCCAGCCAAAACCAGGACAAAGGATTAGCTTTTTCCCAAGATGCCAGGTTTTCCCATCTGCCTTGAAATGGACAATACTGGAAAGCCTTTACAGCCTGATTTTAATGGAAAACTGCAAGGTCTTTTCATTTTTCTTTTCTTGACCTCCTGAGTCCAGGTCTACTCCTCCTGAGATCAGTTCCGCGCTGTCCTTTTCTCCACTCCGTGATTTCCACTGGTTAAAAGGACATGTGGACACGCACTTGATTCTGTCTTCTAATGACAATCATTTTGCTCACTACAGGGTCTTTAAAAAGAGCTTAATCTCATCTAAAACATGAATGTGTGTTAATTACGGCAGTTGCATAGTACCAGTTATGCACAGAGTCAGAGTTCCTGAGCAGGAATGGCTATGGTGCCTTCAGTCGCCTTGCCCTTCCAACTTGCGTGGCTGAGCCACTCATAAAACAGATGTCAAACCACTAGCATTAAGTGATGTTGTCACAGAAATTATGGTCTTTACCTGTATTAGCACTGACTACATATTTGTAAAGAAATATCCACCAGAACAAAGCAGGACGTGCATCGATCTGACGGAGATGTGCCACAGCACCGTAAGGTCTACCAGCAAATGGAGGCTGTGGTAGCTCGCTCAGGAGCAGCGTGGCCAGCCACCCAGCAGCTGGGTGGAAAGCTGAGGACACTGTCACAAGCTGTCACCCTCTGCTGGGTACCAGCATCCTCAGACATGTTTTGTATTTTGACTGGATGCCTGTAAATTAGCATGTCTGGAATTCTTTAGAGGCTCAGCTGACCAGGAATTTCCTGGATGTATGTTTGGCTTGGGATAGTTATCCTATCCTTGTAATTATTTTGGTTTTACATGCAATTATTTTTATACTTCCTTCTTTTAGCATATTGGTGATATTTTTAACTTTAAGCCTATTCCAGGTAGCTCTTTCCTGGACAATTAGGAACAATGATTCTTTATCAAAGGTAGAATTCAGTCATTCTGCAACATTAGCCTTAAAACTTTAAAAGTAAAAAAAAAAAAAAAAAGCACCTTTGGGGCTTCTCTGTAGAAGTCTTCCAAATTATTGCCAAGGCTGAGCTATTTTAGTTGGGTGATTAAAAATACTCCTTTCCCTAATTTAAAAAGCGGGCCTGTTTCTTTCACACAATTTGATGTAAACATTACAGAGTCAACACTGTCTTGGGTCCCTGTCAGGAACAATGCCTCAAATGTGTTTAAATAAACTGTATTAGAGACACCAGGGACATCTGCTTTCAGTTCTACCCAGTATACCCTTTTGTAGCTCACAGATCTCACTGTGGTATATATCTTGGCTACCGCTGAAGTTTACAATCCATTTACTTCCATGCCCAAAATGTGGAAAGTAGGAAGATTCCTCTACAGTGAGCTCTTAATCCACCATCTCTGCTCCCAACCTCATTCTTCTGGTTTTTTACGTTCTGCTGGAAGCTTTTGGGCGGGTTTTTGCTGATGCTTTTCATTTTGGCATATACACTAGACAATGTGACTTGTTTTTTTCCTCTTCCTAAACCAATGCGGGTCATTCTGGTATTAGGGCAAGATGCCAGTTTGGTGCGCTTTGGTCTTGTTGAGTTTCCACCTTGTCAACTTTAAAAACAGTCTGGCATTTCCTTCCTCTTTTTCCTTGTGATTCTGCATCTGTCTACTTTTCTAATATTTCTGTTGGTGACATCCACAAAAAGTAGAGAGGCTTTTAATCTCGTCCCAAGCAAAGGCTCTGACACAATACAAAGTTCCTGACAATGTACATATACATAAAGACAGCAGCACAGAGAGAAAAAAAAGGCACTGAATGGATATGAAAATCTTTGAAACGCTACCACACTCTTCTTGCACAGTATTGCTTTCAGACATATTTAGTATTTTGCATTTCTGTAACGCCTTTCATGTAAGAAGTTTGGAAAACTTTATGGGAACAAAGCACAAATTCTCTAGCTGATTTTTGCCAGACTCTAGTAAGAAATCCAGCAGAACCATGAATAAATCTGTAGCCTTTCCCAGCTTCCTACCTGTTCTTCCCCACCTGAACATGTAAGTTTCTCAAAAGTAGAATTTATTTCTACACATAGCCATGTGAAATTACCATTTTGTAGCCGGGAATTTGAAACCCTCACCATAGGATAACATTCAGACCAAGTTCAGACAACTGTGCAGCTTGGCCAGCGGCTACCCCTACGTTTCCACAGCCCAAATCCACTGCCCTGTTTACTGGCCAAGTTATTATCATCTGTGTTTAAAAAGGGAGGCAAACACTCCAGAACATTTTCAACTGTTTTGCATTCTGTTTACTGCTTCTACTAACTTCTGCATGGTACCATCTGGATTCTGCCTTTCTACTTCCTCATGGTTTGCAATTTCCCATGTTCCCGCACATATTTTTTGCATTTTATGGACAATCAGCCATTTTTCAGCTCCACGAGTACAGCTCAGCATTCCTTCACTTTATTTTTAGCCCAAACCGGCTACTAGAGAACTGCAGTTTGCTAGCTTTGAGCCCGCTAACGCAGCTGACTCAGAGACCGGCCTGTCAGATGGCTCAATCCCTTTCTAAAGATAAGGGAGAATGGATTTTTGTCATTTTTAATGTGCCAGCTGGTTGCAAACCCTCCAATACAGCTGATCCTCGAGGTGTGTCTGCACATGTTGCCTGCGGGCCTCACCCTGACTGAGAAAACACCCTCCACACACGCCCAATTGACCTACCTCGGTTTTGTTTGGTTTTAGAATAGAATAGACTAGACTGTTTCAGTTGGAAAGGACCTATGATGATCATTTAGTCCAACTGCCCGAGCAATTCAGGGCTGGCCAAAAGTTAAAGCACGTCGTTAAGGGCATTGCCCAAACGACAGTGGCAGGCTTGGGGCATCGCCCACCTCTCTAGGAAGCCTGTTCCAGTGTTCGACCACCCTTTTGGTAAAGAAATGCTTCCTAATGCCCACTCTGTACCTCCCGTGGTGCAGCTCTGAGCTATTTCCACACGTCCTGTCAGTGGATCCCAGGGAGAAGAGCTCAGCGCCTCCCTCCCCGCTTCCCCCCCTCAGGAAGCTGTGGAGAGCAAGGAGGTCGCCCCTCAGCCTCCTTTTCCCCAAACTACACAAGCCCGAAGCCCTTAGCCGCTCCCCGGAGGTGTTTTCTGGTGATTTTTGCATTTGTTTGCGTCGGTTCTGTTTTATTTCGTCGGCTTTCCTTTTCCCCAAGCGCCGCGGCGGCAGCCAGGACTTCCCCCCCCTTCGCCCACCTCAGCCGCCT